CATGCCTGTAGTCCCAGCTACTCGGGAGGCTGAGGCACAAAGATTGCTTGAGCACAGGAGTTTGAGGTTGCTGTGAGCTAGCCTGATGCCACGGCACTCCAGCCCAGGCAACAGAGCAAGACTGTCTCAAAAAAAAAAAAAAAAAGAACACAAGAAATTAAATGGGTACATGAAAAATACAAATTACAGCAATAATAATATTCCTCTTGTTAATACAAAAACTGGCTAAATGATTCTGAAGTTCATTAAATGACCTAATGAGAAAGAAAACTCTTCATTTTCTGTAGTTTAAGACCATGCTTAAATAGAATAAATACAAACAGCAGGCATCCTAGGACCAGCTGGATAGCATGCCATTCATTGAACCAATAGTTCCACCAAAAATAGACATGAGAACAGCAGGTAAAGTCACATTTCAGCACACTCTATTACTTGAAATGTATTCTGAGTGACTCTGGGGATATGCTGCTCTCTAGATTATGAAAACAGTACACTTGTGAACCACCATTAGGGTCTACTTATAAAGACAACACAGCAAATATACCCCATGTCAACTGTATAAAAATTCTATTAAAACTAAAAAGTAGCAGCTAAAATAACTTTGACCTATTATTCAATTTAATTGTCTAACACCTTAGTTGAAAGCTCATTCCAATGCATCACGTTATTCTCTAAAGATAATTTAAATGAGATAATTTCTAAAAAATAAATGCATGTAAAGAGAAGTGGGTCTTAAAAATACAAATAATAATAAAGCATTAAAGCACCAAAGAAGCTGGAAATAAATGCTTTTGACAAGAAAGTAAAGAAGATAAAATACTGAATAAGCCATAAAAAAACATAATTCTACTGGTCCTTCCAAATTATTTTTATCATGATAACATTAGAATGTAATGATTAAATGTATGTGGAAAACCTCATTTCCCGTAAATCAGTCTTTGATTATATGTTTTTTGTAACATAAAGAACAAGGATATAGGAAACTGTTTCACACATTAATTCTAACCTTAACTATAATCCAGTCATTAAATAAGTAATTACTGAATATCTACCAGATGGCCAGATAATGTTCTAAGGGCTGGGGATATAATAGTGGATGAAACAAAATTTTTGTCCTCAAAAGCAATGTAATAGAGTAACGTAAACTATAAATAACCATGATTTTTCATTATTTTGAACAAAAATTCACAAAACTTAAAATGGGAAATTGTTTTACAAGATGATGAAAATTTAGAAACTCTTTAAATTATCCTAAGAATCTTTCATGTTTTGACATTTAAACTTACCAATGCAAACTGATTGACTTGAATGAAGAGTATTTCTACCTCCTTCTCAGTAACTTCAGTCCCAAAGCCCTTATACTCTTTGTAGGCTTCAAGGTAAGAACGCAGCCACTGACTTTGTAGCTCTCTATCTGGATAGAGACTATAGTCCACATCGCTCACACCTTCGGGGGAAAAAATACACTGCAGATTTTAAAAACATATACTCTTCTGCATACCTTAATAATCTTTACTATAAACAGTTTTTTTTTCATACAAAATTAATCATTCTATATTTCAGCTTAAATTCTAAGGCACATTACTGTTGATCACCATACTCAATTCTCATTCCTTCAATTTTTCCTCAAAAATACACCTGCATCAGAAGCTCTAAATCTGCATTTTAAT